CCAGCTAGGGGGTTCGGGGCACACGTGGAATCTTCCAGAAGGGGTGACTTGAAACTCCTTGCTATAGACTTGAAGATGTGACAGGTAAAGGAGGGCTTCCTGGACCACCACACCCACGGTATCTGTTTTTCCTTCGTATTTTGTTAACCCGGTTGCTACACACGATGGTTCCCACAGGGGTTTTGTGTCCATGTTTTGATTCTGTTTTTCTTTTTTGTTGTTTTTGTTAAGATTTATTTATTGATTTGAGGGGTGCCTCCGTGGCTCCATTGTTGTGTCTGCCTTTGGTTCAGGTCATGATCTCAGGGTCCTAGGGTGGAGCCTCTCTGGTTCCTTGCTCAGGGGAGAGCCTCCTTTTCCCTCTGCCCGCCGTTCTCCCTGCGTGTGCTCGCTCTGACAAGTAAATACTTTCTTAAAAGACAACTTTTCACTTTTACCTAGTGTTCTCTTAGGGGCTGGGGAAGTCGAAGTCCGTGTCATGCCAGAATTTGGTTTTGAAAGATGTGCAAGGCTCTGCCATAGAGCTGGATGTTATATCCAATCCCTGCCAGGGCATTTGGTGTTTGTGGTTTATCCTGCCCAGTGTGGAGCCCCGCATGGAGACCTAACTGCTTGCCTGTTTGCGCAGGTGGTTCTGTGCAGACTGTCACTTTGGTATCAGAATTTTCTCTTCTCCTTCAGTTATTCCTGGTGTTTATAGAAATAGGATGTGTGTGGGGCTTCTCGTGTATAAGTGATAGAGTGACGTTTGGGTGTATTTCACGGTGAAACGGTTGACAGTAGTACTCTACACATACGTGTAGTTCCTCTGATTTGAATGCCCCCTAACATTTTGGTGTTTTATAGACATTTTCTTGGGAAATGATGCCTCTGTGTATAGGAAGCGTTGCTGGATAATTTTGCTAAAACAGTGGTTCTCTGGCGTGATCTTCCCCCACCGCTTTTAGGTGACACTTGGCAATGTCTGGATACATTTTGGGTTGCAAAAACCCAGAGGGGTGCTACCACCGTACTGGATGCTACTAAGCGTTCTGCAGTGCACAGGACGGCCCCTGCAACAGGAGTTCCTTCATTGAAAATGCCTGTGGCACAGAGTTTGAGGAACGTTTAAAACTGAAATCGTTGGGGGTGCCTGGTGGCTCAGTTGGTAGGCGTCTCCCTTTGGCTCAGGTCATGATTCCAGGGTCCTGGGATCGAGCCCTGCATTGGGCTCCCTGCTCTACAGAGAATCTGCTTCTCCCTCTCCTTCTGTATGCCGCTCTGCCTACTTGTGCTTTTTCTCTATCTCTCTGTCAAATAAATAAAATTTTCAAAAAAAATAATAATCATGGGGTAGCTGACTAAGCCTGGTAGCCTAGTTAGTTAGGTGTCTGCCTTCAGCTCGGGTGGTGATCCCAGAATCCTGGGAAGGAGTCTCATTATCAGGCTCCCTGCTGTGCATCGTGAAGTCGGCTGCTCCCTCTCCCCTGTTCATGTTCTCTCTCTCTCAAATAAACATTAAAAACAAAAAATAGATCATAAGTTGTGATCTTCTTGGTTCTCTATTCCCCTCCCTTCCTCCCATTACAGAGGAGGTGAGCTTTTTTGGTTTAAGACTTCATTTATTTGAGAGAGAGAAAGCACAGATAGAGGGAGAAGCAGACTCCCCACCCCACTGGCTGGGCAGCCTAATGCGGGGCTCCATCCCAGGACCCTGAGATCATGACCTGAGTGGAAGGCAGACGCTTAACCGACTGGGTCACCCAGGTGCCTCAAGGAAGTGCTCTTCTTAGTGACTTTGATGAAGACACTTGTTAAGGTTACTTGTTTTGTGGCAGGCAGGGCCCTCACAGTAAAGCCACCACAGATGGGTGGGGGCTACCCCCAGTGGGTGCTCAGTCCCTCTGGTTCTTGTCCATCTTACTCCTAATGATGGTCCTTCCATCCCCTCTCCCTGCTGCCCCAGGACTACATTGCGGTGAAGGAGAAGTATGCCAAGTACCTGCCCCACAGTGCAGGGCGCTACGCCGCCAAGCGCTTCCGCAAGGCGCAGTGCCCCATCGTGGAGCGTCTCACCAACTCGATGATGATGCATGGCCGCAACAATGGCAAGAAGCTCATGACCGTGCGCATTGTCAAGCATGCCTTCGAGATCATCCATCTGCTCACTGGTGAGGTAGGACTGTGAGGCCTGATGAGGCAGAGTGCCCGTAGTACAGCCTGAAGCCATCAGCTGCCCCGTGGCGTGCGTCTCAGGGTCCATTAGGGTTTGGGGGTGAGGAGGGGGGTGGGATGTGGACTGATGTCACGTTCGTGGCTGCCTTCTCCTAGAACCCGCTGCAGGTCCTGGTGAACGCAATTATTAACAGCGGTCCCCGGGAGGACTCAACCCGCATTGGGCGAGCCGGAACCGTGAGGCGTCAGGCTGTCGATGTGTCCCCGCTGCGCCGTGTGAATCAGGTGGGCTTGGGGCAGAAATGGGCAAGTAGGAAGGTTTCTTCTGCCTGTGTGCTTTACCTGGAGTGTCTTTTGCTCCAGGAATCTTTCCTGCATTACCATCACATTCAGGGCAGATACTGGTTCTGGCCCCGTCCCGAGCAACGTTTCCCTGAGTCACGGTTTCATTTGAGTGTGTGTTGTTACATACTGTGTGTGGGTGTGTGTGTTTTTTTTTTTCCACAGACCATTTGATCATCAGCTAGGGGCATTGTCACCACGGCCCCCTTAATAGAGATAGAATTGTCTCACATTCTGTGCCTGCAGCTGTCCCCAGTGTATCTTTCGTAGCTGTCCGTTGTCAGTCAGGGTCCAGGTCAGGAGCGCACACGGCATCGCGCTTCCCTGCAGTCCAGGTTTCGGATCTCCTGTAACCAAACACCCAGCGTCAGCCTTTGTGTCCACACTTTGTTTCTGTGGCCCCCGGTCTGATCTCAGATCTGGCAGCATTTCACCTGGTGCTGCCTTTGGGCTCCTACTGTGTCTCGTCTCTGTCGCGGCGGGGGGGCAGTGGATGCCAGGCAGTATGGTAGCCAGCATTTGTTGGGGTGCCTAGGCTACGGAAGACAGTGGCCCTATCTGCTTTGGGGGCATCTGCTTAGCTGAACCCTGTGCTCCCTAGGCCATCTGGCTGCTGTGCACAGGTGCACGTGAGGCTGCCTTCCGGAACATCAAGACCATTGCTGAGTGCCTAGCAGATGAGCTCATCAATGCAGCCAAGGTGAGTGAGGACACAGGGGTGGGGCCAGTTCAAGGGGAAGCTGCTCCAGCCTTCAGAACTGACCATCTCTCTCCTTGCAGGGCTCTTCCAATTCGTATGCTATCAAGAAGAAGGACGAGCTGGAACGTGTGGCCAAGTCCAACCGTTGATCACGTGGCTGTGCCTTCAATAAACCTGTCTGTCCTCGGGGCAGCCTCACCCACCTGTGCCATTGTGTGTCCTGGGGGGCTCTGGAGTGGGATGGCCCCAGGGTCCTGAATTGCTGGCCACGTTTCTGACCTGTCTTTTGGCCTGTGGAGACCCGGGTTCACCAGGGAGATACTCTGCTCAGGAAGTGCCACTGACTCAGAACCATGGAGAGCAGGCCTGGCTACCCGGAGGGTTCCAGTGTGTTGGAAATGAGAGGGGTGGGTTGTCCTGGCACAGATGTCACTCTAGTCTGGGGAAGGGCTTGGTGTTTATCCAGGAGATCTGGGTGGTAGCCCACCACCCTGAGAGGCATGTTTCCTGTGAGCAGCGCCAGGGAGCGGTATCTAAGGCCAATGGTCTGGGTCAGTGTTTCCAGCCTCCTGCCTGCTGGTTTGTCAGGGGCCAGCCCTATCCAGTACACTGTGGGGCCTGCCCACCTTCCACCCCAGAGGCTCCTCTTTGCTCTGGCCAGCTTCCCCCTGAGCTCCAGGCTGCCTGTACACTTTTTTTTTTTTTTTTAAGATTATTTATTTGACTGATCACAAGTGCTCAGAGAGGCAGGCAGAGAGAGGGGGAAGCAGGCTCCCCGCTTAGCAGAGAGCCCAGTGTGGGGCTCAATCCCAGGACCCTGAGATCATGACCTGAGCCAAAGGCAGAGGCTTAACCCACTGAGCCACCCAGGCGCCCCTGCCTCTGCATTTTGTGTACTAGTCAGGACTGCAGCAACCCTGGGTACCCATAGAGGCACTGCTACATCAGGTTCATCTGATTCCACCAGTGGCTTGAAAGTGGATTCATGAGGTGATGGAAGACTTGGGTGGTGGGTTGTTACTGCCCACCCATGAGACCAGACTCACTGGCCTGTCCCCCTGTGCCATCTATCACCTTGCCGCCCCCAACATCCGGCCAACGTCAGGCTTGGTGTTCATGCTGGAGGGACCTGTCTCGGGGGCGGGCCAGGCAGTCAGACAAGTCTGACAGGTACCTTGGGAACCTGGGATCTGGAGGGAGTGGTACCAAGGCAGTACCTTCCTGCAGGGAGGGGCACCTAGTATACAGCTGCTGGTAGGCAAAGTACTGGGGTCAGAACTGGCAGGGACGTGCCAGGCAGAGGGAGGTGGCACCCACAGGTAGGAAGAGTCCAAAGGCCCACTGGGGTCTGTCATCGGGAATCTCTGGCACCTGCTCTGGGCTTCTGTCATTTCTCTGTGTTGCTGGGCTCCAGTCCTGAGGCTGGCATGTCCTCTTCCTCATCTGCCCCTCCTGGGATCTGGTATGGACCCCCCCCCCCCAGAATCGAACTAGTTCTTAGAGGTCCCCATCTTTTTTGTTCCTCTCCATGTTGGAGCCTCCCCATTGCTTGTCTGGGGTCCTGCCTGGTGATGAGTCCTCAGCTGTCATCTCTGCCCCTTCCCCACCTAAGTCAAGCTTAGGACCTACCATGCCCCCTGGGTCTGTCCCTGTCCCCCAATCCTTTCCTCCCATCTCTTTTGCTCCCTCCCTTCTCCAGTCTTGATGCTTCTTCAACTCCCTACCTGGACACCCTTTTTCTTTGCTTCTACCCTGAGTCGCCTACCATTCTAGCCTCTGCTCCTTGGCTCTACACCCCCTTTGCTTCGGTACTCCAGAGTGCAGCCCCTGAACCCCCGCAGACCCTCCTCCGCTCTTCCACCGCCTGCTTTCCTGGCTGACGGGCCTCTTCCCTCAGGTCCCGTCCAGATGCCCTGCCCTCGGCCGCCCTGGCTCCGCTGCTCCCTGGCCCCTCAGGGCTCAGGCCCCAGCTCCCCGAGCTCACTCTCTGCGCCCTGCTCACCCGCCAGGGAGGAGGGCCAAGACGACGACGGCGAGGAGGAGGAAGGGGACGGCAGCCCCGGCTCGGGCCCCATCCTGACCCCCGCGTCCCCTGTGGAGTGTCTCATTTGCGTGTCACCCTTCAACGGCGTCTTCAAGCTGCCCAAGCGCCTGGACTGCGGCCACGTCTTCTGCCTCGAGTGCCTGGCTCGCCTGTCCCTGGCCACGGCGGGGGGCGGCGACGCGGTGGCCTGTCCGGTGTGCCGCGCGCCCACGCGCCTGGCCCCGCGCCGAGGGCTGCCCGCGCTGCCCACTCAACCGGGCCTGCTGCCCCGCGACGCGCGCGCGCCCCTGCCGCGCCAGGGATCGGTGCGCTTTGACCGTCGCCGCGGCCTGCTGTACTTGCGGCCGCCGCCGCCCGGGCCCCGCAAGTCCCGCGCCGCGCACCCGCCGCCGCCGCCGCCGCTGCGCCTTGGCCGCCCGCTGTCTCGCCGCCTCTCCCTGGCCAGCCCGGCCTGGGTCTTCAACGCCGCGGTGGCGCTGGCGGTGCTGGTGGCCGCCGGCCTCGTCGTCTCGGGTGTCTACATCTTCTTCCTCATCCCCCACGCCGCCTCCTCCGGCCCCGTGCGGCCCCAGCTCGTGGCGCTCGCCCCGGCGCCGGGATTCTCCTGGTTCCCGCCGCGGCCCGCGCCGGGGACATCCTGGACGCCGCGCCCCGTGGGTCCTGACCTGGACACCACCCTGCCAGGGGCTACGGAGGACGTGCTGGAGCCCGAGGGGGGCTCCGAGGACAAGGCGGAGGCCGAGGGGACTCTGGACCGGCCCCCCGACCTCGTGTGGTGAGCAGAAGCCGGCCCGGGCTGGGCCCCGCGGGGACCGGGAGGGAGGAGGGTGTGGGCGCCGTGGTAAACGCATCCGTGCTGCTGGTCCTGTCTCCAGGGCTGGGGTCCTCCGTGTCCTCCTGGTGGGGCCCTGCCAGGATCCCTTGCCCTGGTCCTCAGGGAGGCCTTACCAAGGTGCATGGAAAGCACCCATTTCTTCGAGGGAGGCCTAGTGAGATCTTTCCAGGCGTCATTACCAAGGAGCAGGGACCCTCTCAAGGAGCAACCTCTGCCTTCATTCCCACAAGGGCCCTCTGGGAGCACCCATAACCCCCAGCAACTGTGGGCATCCAGCTGAGGCTGTCCTGAGCCCCTCTTTGCAAAGGTCCTTCTGGGAGGCACTCCTAAATCTGGTCTCCATGAGGGCCCAGGTTGGGAGGACCCTTGATCCTCATCCCCCCGAGAGTCCAGCTAGGGAGCCCCTCGGACCAGCATTGGGTAGGTACCCTGCTCAGGAGCTTGCCTCCCCATCAGCCCCTCCGGAGGGTCCCACTGAGCGCACCCCCAGTCATCATCAGACCTTGGGGGGAGAACCCTCAGCTAGCAGCTGGGGGGGGAAGCTTCTGATTTAGTCATCCTGTGGGCTCACTGCAGGTGGCTGGAGCCCCCAGTCTCTGGTGGTGAAGCTGCTACTGCTGTTGGCCTCTGGCCATGCCCCTCTGCACGGCCCATCGCAGTCCTCCCCACCCCACTGGGGCTGTGGAGTTTATTTTCCACTCTGCTGCCTGCAGATTGGGTGTGGGTGGGATCCAGCTATTTCCAAGCTGGTCCTTGGTTGTCTGCACGCATGGCTGGGGCTTGGGCTTGAAGGGGCAGGGGTGGCCAGGCCAGGGCTGAGGAGGGACACATAGGGCCTGAGCCTCCAAGATTAGTTCCCACTTGGTTCTGAGAACCAGTCTGCAAGCAACAGCCTCGACTACTGTTTGGGTCGTGGCTTCTGGGGTCCTGATATGCTGTGGGGCAGCTGTGGTCACCAAGGCTCATACAAGCTTGCCCTCTAGGTCAGGTCCACGTGATTTGGGGGGTGGGTGCTCCTGGATCTCGCTGGCCTGCTTGGAGACATCCTGGCCTCTCTCCCTGGGTGCTAGAACCCCCATCACCCTTATTTCCACTCATTAATTTCTCGAGACCAGTTATTGCATGTCTCCTCCAGAGCTCCATCAACTTTTTTTGGCAACCCTGTTGTACCCTGAGGTGAAGCCTCAGCCTTGGGCAGCAGCCTACAGGGAGCGCAGCTCTTGGGTTCTTGTCCTCCTCCTCTCAGAAGCCTTCCTGGGTCAGTCATCACAGGGTAGATGGCTGCTACCCTCTACACAGACTGAACGCAGGTCTTCTGTTTCCCCCAAGGCTCTTGAGCCCACATCCTGCCTCACTTGGCCCAGGTTTGGGGTTCCATGTTCTGTGGCTGGGAATCTGGCATTTTCCAGAGAGAAATGTAACTTCTATGGGGCTGGGGGCTCTCATTTGATCTGTTTACACGTATGTCCTCAGTGCCTGGCACATGGGGGGTGCCAAATAGTTTTCTGGGGAGTGACGGCATTGCGGGTGACCAAGAGGCAGGCTGGGAATGCCTGTGGGCACTCTAGGCTCAACTAGCTCGGAGCCACCCTGGTGGAGGCATGTCAGCCGAGTTCCTTTCGATGGGAGCTGCTGCTTCCGGTTGGAAAGCCAGAGGGGGATCATCAGGACATCAAAGGGAGTGTCTTTCCAGACCAGTTCTTGTCCCACACCCAGGTGCCAGTGTCACCCACAGTGACTGAGAGCAGGGTACTGGGTCACTGGGCAGCCCTAGCCCCGCCCACACAGGGAGGGGACTTGGTCAGGCTGGAGCAGTGTTGGTGGTCTAGGTTAGTGTCTGCTGACTGCTGCAACAGAGAACTAAGACTAATTCTGTCACAGTTCTGCAGGCCAGGAGTCTTGAAATCATGTTTACCTGGCTAAAATCAAGTGTCCTTAGGGCTAGCTTCTCCGGAGGCTCCAGGAGAGAATTTCCTTAGCTTTTCATCTTCAAGACCTGCATTCCTTGGCTTCTTCCTCTATCTTCATATTTTATTTTTATTTTTTTAAGTAATCTCTACACCCCATGTGGGACTCAAACTCACAATCCCAAGACCAGGAGTCCCATGCTCTACTGACCGAGCTGACCAGGTGCCCTGTCCTCCTCTGTCTTCAAAGGCAGCAGCATCGTGGCTACAAAGCTCTGACTGTCCTGCCTCCTGCTTTCACTTGTAAGGGTATTGTGAGAACTTGAGCCCGCCCTGATAATCCGAGATAATTTCCCCAGATCAGCATCTTAATTTAATCACATCTGCAAAGTCCATTTTGCCATCTAAGTAGCAGATTGACAGATGCTGGGGGTTAGGACCTGGCTATCTTTGGGGGCCATTATTCACCTCACTATAACGTCTCAGGTATCCTTCTCATCCCTTCCCTCCTCCACCCAAGGCTGGGAGATTGGGGTGGGGGGCAAAAGTTGGGCCCAGCCAGGAGAGTGAGAAAGGGGCCCTTAGCTGGTGGTGCCCAGAGAGGGGAGAGAAAATGCTTTCTGCCTGAGGTTGTTCAAGAAAGGCTGCCTGGAAGAAGACCTGCATCTTCGAAACAGCTGGTATTAAGGCAGAAGGAGCTGGGGCAGTAAGCGGGTGGCTGAGGGCACTGGCAGGGCTGACCATCCCATAACCCAGTCCTAGCTAGCTTCCTCCTAGAGGTTAGGGAAGGTTCGGCTTCTCCGCTCTCCCAACTGGGAGACTGAAACTTCAGTCTCTCCTTCCTTACAATGAGCCTGATGACAGATCCCAGGGGTCCTGAACATTCCTGTCTGCTAATTACTACCTCGATGACTGCCCGTCCACTGCCCATGAACAAAGGGGCCGTCCAAAACCACCCTGGGGCCGGTATCATGGGTCTTCTGCCCCAACCTTTCCTACCAGCCTCTGTGGCCATCTAGAGCCATGCCCTCCCTGCCCTCCCTCTGCCCACTTCAGCCCTGCTGCATAACCACCCCTCATCTGTCGCAGGCTTGCGAATACCCAGCGAAGGGAGTCAATCTCATTGCCTGGCATGGTGCCAGAGATGCCAGAATTTGGTTCTCTCTTCTGTAAAATGGGTGACAATAAACACTTTACTTGCAGGGAAAATTAGTTAATCTACAAGTATTTATTGTGCACCTGCTGTATACCAAGGGTGTGCACTGGGGACATCGCAGGAACAAGGAAGGCCCTCACATGGCAGATGACATCCAGAACGCTGAGCAGAGCAACTATCATCTTGGCCACACTGCCTTCCCTGTCAAGTTCGTGGAGTCCCCAGTTCCCCAAAGCTTCCCCATGTTCTCCTCCCAGCTTTGCCTTCTTTGCCCCTGGAGGGACGCAGGGTGCGCTGTTCTATAGGGCTCTGGCCAGCCTCTCCTCATGAGAATCAAAGATGCAGCTGCCCGCACTGCACCCATCCCTGCCCATCAGGGCATCTTCTTGTGTTGAGGCCAAGGGAACAAGGGCCACAGAGGGCCCTCACTGGACCCTGAGAGTCGCAGAGTCCAGACTCTGCGGGGAAACAGAGGCTGTTGGGCTGGGCAGGGTGTGGATTCGAACCAGGACCAGAGCTTCCTGCAAAACACCTTCTCCCCTCAACTCCACACCCTGGTAGGGTAGACTTGGTTTTTTCCCCTCCTCCCCCGGTCCTGCAATTGGAGTTCTCTCTCCACACTTGGGAGGCTTCCCCTCCTCACTAACACCCACACGCAAACCAGGGTGGGGCTTGGGGGAACTTCTAGCAATCCTGGCTGGGGGCTGCTTGAGTGTCGTCACAACATGGCAAGTGGCTTCTCTCTGAGCAAGTGAGCCAAGAGGGAACAAAGCCAAAGAAGCCACAATGCTTTTTATGACCCGGCCACAGAAGTCATTCTATCATCTCCCCCATGTGCTAGCGGCCACTCTATTCACTATGTAAGGGACCTAAGTGAGTGTGTGAACATGGACAAGGGGACTCATGGTGGCCATTTGGGAGGTCAGCCATCTATCTAAAGTGGAGTCACCAGCACAGTCCTTTGTCCTCTTTAGCCGAATGGGCCTGTGCCACTCTCTTGGGCCCTCTCTCCCCGAGAGAGTCCCAGGCCTTTGGTTCAGGCTGAATCCCCAGGGTGACAACCATGTCACCCTTTCTGTGAGTTTGGGGGAGGCCAGGGAGAAGCCAGTGCGGGCCACAGTAGCACCAAGTAGGGACTGGGTCAGAACCAAGGACAGAAAGGGAAGAGTGACTGGCTTCGTCCTCACCGGTCTCCAGGCCCCCAGATCTTAAGGGAGGGAGGAGACATGGAGCTGTGGGTGTTGACAGGAGTTGGAGGGTCGAGGGGGGTGGCATTAAAACAGCTGACTCTTTTCTAGGCCCCTTACCCTCCGGTGTTGGAGGAACAGGAGTGAAGAAGCATTGTGGTGGTTCAGACCTGGGCTAGGCACCGCCCTGCAGCCGCCTGTAGTGTTTCCACATCAGCAGTGTGGGAGGGCGCACAGTGGGGCAGCAGGTGGCACAGGTGCTAGGGACCAACTGGCCTGTTGCAGAATTTGTCTGAGATCGGAGTTCTCTGCAGGAAGCTGGCTCTGCTGCCCTTATTCTGTGCTGTCTGGAAGAGCCAGCTGGCATGGGTCCAGAGGCTAGTAAGATGCCAAGGCAGCTTAATCGTTTCAGAGAGGAAGCATGACTCATTCCAGGATCTACTCTGTCCCACAGCCTTGGTGAGCCACTGCAGTCAGTCCTGTCCACTGTACCACTGGGCGGAAATAGCCCTCCTGATATTAGTGTCCTTGTGTACCTGGAGCCCTAATCCACACCAGATCGTCTATGCCAACAGTGTGATTTGTGGTAGGGGCTGTGGGCCACGCTGCATCAGTTTGTCTTGCGGGGGGCGGGCGGGGGAGAGACTGGGTAACTAAGGTCAGTTACATGGGTGCTGTTACAAAAGTGCACACC